TCTGGGAAAATAAGACCAATTAGATCTAAATTATTTCTAGTCTTATCATATGATGATAATTGAGCTATTCTCTGCAATTAACTAGTAGCTGACCTTATTAGAAACTGTTTGTGGAAATTTGAAGTGTGATCATGTGTGCTGCGATCATGTGATGACCAAGTCCATCTACAATCATGACTCAAGGACAAAGTGACCCAGAAATGGAAGTCATAGCAAACTAGAATCTGAGAGTCCATACAGACTGAAACAGGACAAAGAAAAACTCCAAGGGGAACTTTCTTCTAAGCTCCCAAATTTGCCTTCCTCTTTCTATGATAACCTATTAGGGAAAAACATGAACATATGGGGAATATACTGTTTCCTTTCCCTCTGGTGCAGTTGCAATACAGAGGCCAAATATAAGTGACATTTAGCATGCCATTAAGGGACATTTTATGGAAAAAAGTTCCATCATTTAGTAGCAGTAAGCAACATCCTGGGCATATTTAAACTCCTTTTTTGTGTCTTTGATTTTTCCCCAGGAGTGTAGGAAACCACTATCTCCACTACTTTCTAGATACACAGAGAGAAGAAATCAAATTCTAAGTGATTTTCACCATTAGCTTGGAAAAAAATTGCCTCTGTATTAATAAGTAATTTGACAAGGTCCAAGTGTTTTGAGAATTTTTAAGTTAGAAGAACCTTCAAGTAATACCTCATTTATTTCTCTGTTCGCTTTAGGTCAACAAATGTGGTCTATAACCAAGCATTTTTGAGCTTTTAGAGCTTTATCTATTTAATGATAGGTAATATCTAATCTTTGATATTAGATAAACAACATGGTAGGACGTGCAGAGAGCTAAGGTGATGTCCATGACAATATGGTAAAAGATGTGATCATCAAAATCTCTAGTTTCAACCAAGTAAGAGTAAATAATTGAAGGTGATCTAAATTAAAAACTAAAATACGAAATTCTGGTCCCAGGTTGCTGAAAGGACTGGGCAATCATGCATATGGCTTAAGAAGCTACAGAAGCAGCCCCCCCAAAAATGTGCCTTGATAAGCTTATTATTTTTGCTAAGTCCTAAAAACTGCAGTTTTCTAGACTCACCACCAACATCATGAATCTCAGCTTTGCCCTCCATTGTGGCCACAGTCACACCCAGAGTAGGACACTGTTTGCACAGCTGCCTTTGTTTACTGAGAGTGGATTGTCTACTGTGCCTCCTTCTTTGTATTGCCAGCAGCCAATTTTATCCCAGATAGCTGTAACTGATTCACTCTATTAAGAGCTTTGTCTCTCTTATCTACAAAGCCAGACAAGATAGCAAGTCACCAGAAAGTCACCTTCAGTACTGAAGTATGTAAGTGAAGGGAAAGAGTAGAATTTAAACTTTAATGGAGTATACCAGAGTCTTTGGTTTAAATGTTCTTTTGAGGGATTCTTGCTTTATTTTTTAGTTTTTCAGTAGTTCATCCAATGAATATGTTTGTGCAGGGGGAATCAACATTATGGCAAGGGAAAGAGGCCTGAATCCCATGTAGTGGGTATATATTGTATCTGGCTCACTCTTGTGAGGAGCTAGGCTTCATTTTTGATCAAGAAAACTTTTTGATCTCTAAACAATGATGCCCTTTGATGAGTGATTCTTACCATTTATTTTGGGTGGTGAAGGAGCAGCATAGTCCTGAAAGTTGATGGGGCCTATTGGCACCTCCTGACCTACTTTGAAGGATGTAGGTATAGTTAGTTCTTAATTGGCCCTTCCAAATGCCTTTGCACAGGATGGGTACACACTGTGTAGATGACCACAGAAGCCCTGCACACCCTACCTTCCTGTGCATCCTAGTGTGTGTTTCCAAGAAAGCCACTGCTCTTCCAACTGCTAGTTCCCTCCTCTCCATGGGGATTAAAAGGGACTGGCTTCCCCTGTTTTTCTTAGGACCTATTTGTCCACATTCTTTTTTGTTTGTTTTTGTTTTTAATTTCTTCGAGGCTTGTCTTGAACTCACAGACATCCCCCCTGCCCCTGCCTCCCGAGTGCTGGGATTAAAGGCATGCACCACCACCTCCCAGCTTATTTGCCCACATTCTAAACTTGTTTTAAGGACAGTAAATTCCATGGTTGAACATGGGCATGATATTAATAGAAAAAATGAAAGCAGCACAGAGCATCAAGTCACTCAGAAATCAAGGTCAGTACAAGGAGTTAGGGAGGGAGCACAGAAGGGGTGAAAGGTCAAAAAGATTTCCTTAATCCCTCTGTGTAGGATGGATGGTGGGCCTAATTTAGGTAGCTTTAATTATTGCCTACAAAGAAGGCTATGGGGCCAACAATTGTACAATGCTATTAGAAACAGGGAGGTGAATGCTGTCATTACAGCATTACAGACAACACTCACCTTTATCAGATCGCCTCTGTGTCTGATGGCCTACAGAAATGTCACTAAGTGAGTGAGTCAGCAGCAGGATCTGACTCACTTCCTCTACCACTGTTGACAGCTAGAAGAAGACTCAGAGAGTAACTCAAGAGACTGATGTGCAGAACTAGCAAGTGCTGAGAATTCCTTTTCCTGGGTAGGGAGATCAGTGATTAAAGAGCTGTTTTAAAGAACCTACAGTGTTTTAGGTTCAGACCCAGGAGACTGAGCTATAGGGGATGAGAGCCAGAAATGCTGTAGCAAGGATGAAAGATCACAGATGGAGGCAGGAGCAGAGCTCAGAGCCATAGGGTAGAAGACTAGTCTTTGGGATTTATAGTCAAGTAAGTACACTTCAGGAACTGGAGCAGGAGAAATGGTGGTGAGCCACAAAAGCCTTCAGTTCAACTACTGGCAGCATTACTTTATTCAATACTGTGACTTTCTGCAAATAAGTGTTGTAGAAGCTGGTATGATTGTGCAATCCTATTGTCCCAGTACCCAAGAGGCTAAGGTAGAAGGATTATGTTGTCAAACCAACCTGGATGACATAGTGAGACTCTTATCGTAAAAGTCAAGAGATGGAGGCTGGGGAGATGATTTTGTTGGGAAAAGTGCTTACTACACAAGTAGGAGAATCTGAATTCAATCTTAAGCACCTATGTAAAGAGCTAGTTGCAGTGGTGAGCATCTATAATCCTAACATTGGAGGAAAACACACAAGGATCCCTGGAGCTGCTGGCTGATTTCAGGTTCTGTGTCAGATCCTGTCTCAAAAATTAAGGAGGAGAATATGATAAGAAGACGCTGATATTGACTTCTGATTTCTCTTTATGCACACACACACACACACAGGACTGAAGATTACCTCAGTGGTAGAATTCTTATCTCCCATGTGAAAGACTCTGGGTTTGAGCTCCAACATTATGAGAAAGAAAAAGAAAGAGACAATAAATAAAGTTGTGGGAGTCATAGTACATACTAGCCAGCAGAGGATTCTGGATTCTGATAGCAGCATTCCTTGTAAAAACTCACTGAGTGGGATAGAGATTGTAGTAAGCATTAAAACCCAACAGGTTAATGTTGCTATATTTCCTGCTTAACAGAAATGTGTGTGTATTACTGTGTCAATGAAATGGGAGTGAAATAAAGTCCTGCTTCCAAATAAAGATAAGGATGCTTTGCCTGCATAAATAAGGACACATGGTATAAGAGTATATTAGGGAATTCACTAAGTGGAAAGGACTAATTCAAGTGAAGCCAAATGAGAGGTAGAAGAGCGTTTTCATTTTTCAGTGAAAGGAAGAATCGTACCTACTGGAGGAAAAGGAACAGCTTGCAGAACAAAATGGACAGAGTTGGAGACTTGGCAAGCCATTCTTTGGGAAGCGGTGTAAATGAAATATAAGAAAGTTAGGTTCCGAAATGACAGACTATGGACACCCCCATGGAGGGCCTCACCCTCCCTGGGGAAATGAGGGGATAATGGGGGTGGGGTGGGGGGAGGGCACGGGAGGAGGGGAGGGAAAGGGAGAGGGACCTGGAACTGACTTGTGAAGCAACCTTGCTTCTTATCTAAATTTAAACTGAAAAATAAAAACAAAAAAAGAAAGTTAGGTTCTAGTCGGAAATTCAGGATTAACAGATGACTCAAAGAGGACTTGGGCTGGACCAGGTGGCTTCAACAGCATAGTTACAGAGGCAGTGGGACACAGAGAGGAGAACAGAGAATACTAGATTCTCTTCTTGGTCATCCCTTTGCTGTCTGCTTGATTTGATGAATCCTCATGTTGTTTTCAAACCCAGCCCAAGCCAAAGCTCATATCTTTCTCATATTCTGTGTCTCACAGGGGATAAAAGGCTTAGAAAGAGAGGCTGTATGAAAAAATGAGTAAAATACATTAAGTAAAACACATTTCTTAGTTTTAGATTCTTAACAACTTTCCAAGACTGACACTGCATAGTAAAACAGTTAATGCATTGTTTTATTAACCCACACTTTTCCCTGTTCATTTTCTTTCTCCTGAATTCTGAACAACTGGAAATAATACCGTAATTTGCAGAAGGAAAAACTGACCCAGAACGGAAAAGGAGGTTCATTTCACTCACAGTTTTAAAAGCACTTCGTAAGTGTTGTGCTTAAAAAAAAAGTGAGGTAGTTTTGGAAAATAAAGGGTCAACACATCTCCACATGCCTGCAGCATCTGAGTGATGAGGAAAGTGCTGATGTAGGAGCACAGGACTGTCTGGCTTCACCTCTGCTTTTCCATTCACCTGCTTCCCCAGGCACAGAGGTGCCCACACCTCTGAATCACCCAAAGAGAATCCTGCCAGGCAGGTTCCACAGCTGCAAGAACATTTGTTTGCACAAAGAATTTTCATTTCCTGCCAATACTGAAGAGTCTTTGAGTTTCTGGCAAGCACCAAAGCACTTTAATTTCCTTTTATGGAAAGAGGGCCATGGGTCCAGTTTGTTCATAGATGTACCCTCTCCTCTCCTTCTCAAACCCCACCCCACTCTCACCCAACCCCTCATTGCCTTTCCAACAACTTCCATTTTCTTAGAGTGAAACTGTAGCCATCTCCCTGAGCAGATAGTTTTGGGTGTGGAGCCTGAATTGTGGGTATTGTAGTCCTTTTGCCTTCCAGGCGTTCTGGTTGGGCAGCATCCACGTCACATTAGTGTGGATTTGAGTCCCAGGTAGCTCTGTCAGGAGCAGTGCAGGTGTTCCCTGATCCTGGAGACAGGTATGTGTCTGAGATGAAGAGAATTGGACTCACTTCTGAAAATGTAAGTGTAACTTTTTAGATATATTATTCCTTTCAGTGGGAAGATAACTAATGAAAGGACTGATTCTTCTTTTATAAGCCCTGCTTGAAAAAACAGGGAGGTAACTTATTCAACAAACTTGTGGGACAGAGTTAGAACAATTCTTTGAGGTACAGTTTTTAGTAGTTTGTTTTAAAAAAGGATGACTGTGTGCAACATGAGAAGCAAATAAAAAAAGAAGGAAGAATTTACTTTAATTGGCTTGGGGTTTATGTGGTTAAAAGTCTCTGAAATACTATTTCAGAAGCCCCCCTGGATATATTGACACGATTGACCTTTGGAAACTGTTGAAGCTGAATTGACCCAGTGTAGCAGGGTGTTTCAACTTTCGAAGTCTCAGTTTCCTCATCTGTAAATTGCTCTTAGTCTACCACACAAAATCACGTTGTACTTAACACATGCTAGGCAGGACCTGACACAGGTGACTTGACCCCATCTAAATTAAGTTCCATTAAGCTTCAGAAACTAAATAAACAGACAAATACATATTATTCCACTTACATGAGCTATGTAGATCAGTCAGTTTTCACAGACACAGAAAGCAGAATAGTGGTTGACAGGGTCTGGGAGGAAGAGGAAGTAGGAGTTGTTTTATGGGTGTAGAGTTAGTTTTGCACAGTGGAACCATTCTGGAGAAAGTTTCTACAACTGTGTAAATTTACTCAGAGTTATTGGACTTTTTAAATCGTTAGGATGGTGTTGTTATGTTATGATTTTCCACAATAAAATGACCAAAAAGAATGTAGTAAAAATCATGATGCCTTTCATTTATTAAAGTATCTATCTTTGATTCCTTACAGCACATAAAAACTTTATTCATTCTGTCCAATTTCAGGTTAATATTGAGTTGCCCATGACAGCGTATTGTGTCTACAACACAGTAGTTAGGAGTGGATGGTCATGTACTTTAAGCATGTTTTTAAAGTTTCTGCATCTTATTGGTGGTCTTTTTATTCTCTTCTTTACATAACTACATGGTTTTGTTTAACTCACAATGATTTTTTTCAGGATTTCCTAGGTACAGAGCCTACAGATTGTGAAGTTGTATTATTTACCGCAATGAACTTGGAAGCTTTAATTATAAATCATTTATAACACTTAACTATATTATTTATTCCAGTTTCTCACCTCCCCTGTAGCTAATTTGAAGTAGAATATTTTTACCTCTCTATGCCTTAGAAATAATTAAGACTTTTAAGCCAGAGCTTACTAAAAGTCATACTTAGCTAACTTGAAAGACAGAATATAGTTTGAAATTATATTAGACTTTAACATGTGATAATTTAATTTTTAGTAAGTCCTTTCTCAAAAGACCTAGGTATCCCCCACTATATGTGAACAGCATTCCCAATGGTATTTGGTAACCACTGAAGGTAATAACCAGTATTTGGTGTAGATATTCCATGTAAATGTAAACTCTTTAGGAGCTATGACAGTGCTAAATGAAGCTATAGCTGGCGTGGTGCTTTGGAAGTACTGAATATGTTGTGCACAGATGAATATGTGGTGCACAGTCACTAATAGAACCACTATTTTGAGTGGAAAGCGACCTGTGGTCTGGTTTCTGGAAAAAGTGTCATTTATTTGTTTTAATAAAGGTTTTGAGCATTGTTTCAGTGCTTTCCAGAGGGGCTAGGCCTGGAAAATATAAAAATGCCTCAGGCAAGCCTTATCTATCCCAAAAGATGCAAACTCATAATAGCAGGAAGAAGGGCTCACCTATTGGTCACCCTGGGGCTGCTTAGGGAGTCACTATTGCTAATCCTACTGCATAGAAAGAGTGATGGTCAGAATGACAATGATGGGATTAAGAAGCAAAACCCTAAATCTAAATCCTCATTTTGAATCAAAGACACTGGAGGTTATTGAAAGGGAAAGTGTGTAGGAGTCATTCATAAGCAAAACAAAAAGATGCTTACCCAGGATGCCCAGAGAAGGGGCAGAAATAATGTAAGGAATTTCCAGAGGGTACTGAGAGAAGTGGATATTTAGCTGGGCCTAGAAGGATGGGCAAAGCTGGGCTCCCTTTGAGAGAAAGATGGGGAGATTATTACATGCACAGCAGCAGTTTCCAGACTTTGCATCCATGAAATTATTTCAGGCAACATATATGCTAGAGAACCAACACCATTGAAATAACAAACTTAGAAAGTTGCTATTTTTCAACAGATCACATTATACCAGGATAGATTTTGTTTTTTATGACTTGAAAAGTCTAACTCTTGTTTGATTTTCTGTAATAACTCCACCAGAATAAGCAATAGATTCTAGCAGTTAGAAAAAAATGGCAAAATTACTTTTTAAATAATATTCATTTATAGGTATTGAGTACTCATTACATTTGTATATACTCATAACAATATGAATTAACCTATATAGTATTTATCTCAGTTAAAATAATACTGGATTCACAAACATATAAAATGAAAACATGGTTTGTATGGTAATTGACAATGGGGCTGGTGGGAGATTTGGGATGGTAGCACTGAAATTGGATTGGCTATGGAAACTTCAAAGTGATTTGGACTTCTAGATAACAGTGTTCAAAAGCATCCTGACTCAGAGGCTGATGTCCTAGGAGCCTTGCATTCCTTAGCAGAGGCATCCATGAGTTAGCATGCAGCTGACCTGGGACATAGAGAATAGGAATATTAGGGAACTCATAAGAATAGACTGTATATGCATGTACTTGTGCCACTCCTCATTATCCATTCTTAAATTAACATGTGAAGGCCAGACATTGATTGTCTGCCTTTATCCTTTTCTGCCTTATAATTTGAGACAAATTTTCTCACTGAATCTATTGGTCACTGATTTGGGCCTCGTAGATAAGGTACTTGATGTAAAAGCACAGGAACCTCTTTCACAATAAAGATCTGCTTGGGAATGCAGAGACAGGCAGATCCCCAGAGCACACTGGCCAGTCTAGCCAAAATAAATACACACATGCACCCACCCGCCCCCCCCACTCACAGAAAAGTTAAAATATAATCTGTAGTGGCATATTATACCCACCTTCAGTAATCTTTTTATAAGAACATTGACCAATAATGACAATCAAAGTTCTGAAGCTTGGTAGCCTAAGAGAAGTGACAGTAACTCCTTGAACCATTAGAAATAGAGAGAAATGGATCTACAAGCAGAAAGGGAAACTACATTGTTAGGCAGAAAAGGTAGTTACAGGGCAGCCAGAAGCATAGCAAGGAGAGCAAGTGCTGTTCACAAGAATAAGACCTAGCTCCAACCTTCATCCTGTCCCACTAAAGCTCTTGAGGAGGACAACTAAGAGGAGCCTCCAGGCATAGAGGAATATATGAAGTCGGTGGAAAGACATGCCAACTTTATCTAGTAAGTTACTTTATCTTGGGGGGTTCTCTCTTGGTTACTATGGCCATTTGCTCAGAGGTCTACAATGCTTCAATATCAGAGGAAGAAAAATAAAAGATTGATTTCTTAGAACAAATAGTAGTGTTTTCATCTCTAACCAAGAGATGGGATGGGTTTTTGTTGTTGTTTGTTTGTTTGTTTCAAGAGTAATAGAAGATTGTTGTACATTTCTTTTTTCTAATATGGAATAAATTAATTCAAATATTTCACTAAAATATAGGGTATTTGAAAATAGCTATCATACAGATTTGTGTATTTGTCTCAAATTTAGAAAACTATAACATTAAAGATAAAAGGAAAATAGAAGTATTCCTAAACTTAGTCTTCTCCAAGCTCAAGGATCATACTATTCTTTATGCAGATCTTGGCAGAGTATGCTTTTGTCTTAGAATTTTAAACATTTTTATTTTTTCCACTGCTATGTGAGCTTATCTACAGGCAATGTGTAGCATTGCCTTCGATGCCTAGGCGTTTTATGTAGACATTAAGTTGCACATTATTCATTTGTAGCTCCCACTTTTCTCTAAACATATTTTTGGGATTAATCTAGGTTTATTCTATGGATTCTATTAATTCCCACAACATTTTGTTACAATGAATAAAACTGTAAGATACTCTATCACATTCTCTTACAAAGTTCAGAATTACGATAGAGGATGTTCCTAGGAATAGATTTGCTGAGCCAGAGGTATATTTGTCTTATTTTAGGAATAGATTTGCTGAGCCAGAGGTATATTTGTCTTATTTTATGAAACACTGAAGAACTGTGTTCCAACATGTTTATACTATACTCTTTCCCCAGCCAACATCATATTTCCTGCTTATTCCTGTTATGGGCAAGTTTGTTGGTAAAACTGGAATCAAATAATCTTCCTGGATGTAAAGGAAAGTGAAGCATTCCTGTCATTCCCGAGATTCTGACATTTTTGAAACATTGCAATCTCTAAAATACGGAGAACAATTTTATTTTCAATTATCTCCTTTCCTTCTTAGTTGATGGTGCAAGAGTTTGGCTTTTCCTTTAAATGACATTTAGTTCTTTTATAATTCAATTAATAGCAATAATGATAATGATATTAATAGTAACACTTAACATTACAAGAATATTTACACATATCAAATACTGTATTAAATACTTTACCTCATTTAGTTATTTTTGAGAGGCAGATGATGGGGTCTTTTTTGAATAACATCACAGACATATTCTTGAAGGGTTCAAATAGGCATTATTTTTTTAACTGAAGGGAGTTTAAATTTGCCTAGTAAATACCAAATCTAATGCTTGCAATTTGACCAAACTTTTAAAAACTTTGTTTACTTGAGAGAGGAAATTAAAGAGGTAAAACTTGGAGGGAATGGCTTTTACACAATATGGGCACTTGAGACCATACCTGAAAAAATTAAGCAATTTATTCAAACATTAATTCAACAAATAATTCCTGAGCATATACTGTATGGGAGCTGAGCTACTTTGAAATACTGTAGTTATTAAGAAATATAGCACCATTCCTCACTGCTGACTAAGCTAGGGATGGGGTATTTGGGGAGGGAAGAGCAAAAGCACATAGGAAAAT